ATTTGATGTAGTAGTGCATCATTAGGATGGGGAATTCCCCTGGATTAGAGTTGTTAGCAGGTGCAGCACTTCTTGGTCTTTCAGCAGGTCTTTAAGTTCGCTGATGAGGCTAACTAGTCTGTGGGCACTGGAGGTTGGAGTAGAGTCTCTGTTGTATGATCTCCTTTTACTGGGGCGGGCCTCGCACCCAATAAAGTTTGCGGTATGGTTTTTCAGGCAGTTGCAACACTTGGTCGGGGTATCTCTGGGTTTTTGGCACTGATACGAAAAATGCCTTTCGGCTCATTTCATGCATCTGGCTTCCTTGATGCAGTTACGTTGTGTGTGCCCAAAACTCTGGCATCTAAAGCACTGGGTCGGTCTTCCTCCTCCTCTGTACTTCTCTACTGCTATCGGGAACTGTTTTAGGCTCTCACTGTGATATATTTTGGTCTGATTGGCCAGCAGAGGAGTGACTATGAGGTAGAGGGGGAGTGGCCTATAGGCTCCTCCCACTTTCTTCCTGAACTGTATTACTTTGGAAATCTCTACATTAGATTTCCCTAATTCTAATGAAATCTCATCGGTACTAAAATCAACTGGGAGTCCTCGCACTTTTTCGTTCTTTACAAGTGGGACTTTTTCAGCAGTGGGTGAAGTCTCCATGGCTTGGGTTGTAGGCTCTTTTAGGATCTCAGGAGTATTCTCCGGCTGTGAAGTGGAGGCAGAGATGGAAGTGCTATTTTTGGGCTTTGCTGAGATGGCTTTGGCTTTCTTCTTCCTCTTTTTCCTCTTTTTGGCTGGAGGTTCGATGATGTTTTCAGAATCTGAGGCCGTGGCCCCGACACTGAGGTCTGTTTTCTGTACCGCTGGGTTGGGGCTGATCTCAGGTTCAGTGGTGATAGGCTCAGGAACTGGAGTGATGATTTCTTTGATTGGCTCCGGGTTCTCTCTTTTCATTAGTTCTTTATAGGCTAGACTTAAACAACGCATTCTTCTTTGGAATTTGTCATATATTTCTCCATATTCACAACTGTTCAGAAAGAACTGATGTAAGTCCATTAACCTTTTCATTTCCTCAATACTAAACTTGAGGTAAAAAGATACTTGGTCAAAGATTGGATCAGGTGGTATGAATCTCGTAGGAACATTACTGGCTTCATTTGCTTCTTCAAGTGACGAGTATTCTATTACATCGACATAAACATATTTGGTGCCTTCACCATCCAATTCCACAGGTTCCGGTGTCTTTGGGCGGCTAGGCGGTAACACCTTTCCGCCGCGAGCTGTTCTGTTGTACGGCATTACGGAGCAGAGATAAAGCACGTCTTGTCTCACAAACAATAGTAGTGTTTACATGGCAGAATTGGTGGCAATTAATAATGCTTTTCTCTGGCTCTCTAAAAAAGAATATCCAGACGCCACTATCTATACTGATTCGCTTTCCTCGTTGCAAGCCTTACAAAACCCAGTATCAAACTCAAAAATTGTTGAAAATACTAAAAAATTATGGCGATCTAATATACTCTGTAATTGGGTTAAAACTCATATAGGTACTCAAGGCAACGAGGAGGCGGATCAAGCAGCTAAGAAAGCCACCGATCTCTGCCAAATTACCCTTGAGGTCCCAAGCTCCATCGCCCAAATTAAAACTCAGGTTAAATTATATAGTATGAAGCGCTGGGGACTGGAATGGCGGAGTTCCGAGAAAGGGAGACAGACATTCAAATTTTTTAAAGACCCGAAATTAAATAGACTACAAGCAAACTTCTATCTCAATCAATTTTTAACAGGCCACGGAGTGTTTGGAGAACACCAATATAAATTATTCCACAAAACTCCAGAATGCAATTACTGTGGTGAATATCAATCTATTGATCACTTGTTAATGAATTGTTCTCAATTCCAGACAATCCGGGGCAATAACTTTAATAATATTGGTCAACATCAATGCTATGCTAACCTGACTTGTAGAAATATCATAAAAAAGATTATTAAACAAACTTTAGAGGATGTATTGGGGGACGGTCTTTAATGTCTCGGAACTTGTTCCTTCCAGTTTGGGTGTCTCAATTTTTTTACTATGTCTTTTATAAACTCTTCTTCGTTTACTTACTCCAATTTTATTGTTATTTACTTTTGTACTATTTAATTGGTTTTAAAAGTACTGTTTTTAAATGTTTTACAATATTGTTATTTTGTAAATTTTGCACGTTTATCTTTTAAATTGTTCTTTTAAATTATTCTTTTAATTGACACTTGTAACATATTGCTGTTTTAATGTTTATCACCTTACATGATTTTAGCTGTTCTACGCTCACCATGTTCATGGACTGTTGCCATGTCTGATGTGAATTTTATGTATTTTATGTTTGTACTGTTTTCTGGATTTTTTTGATTTTAATAAACATTTACCCGTATGCCCTAAATAAGGGCGGGTTGGGGTAAATTCTTCCATGCACGCTTTCTGAACTGTAATTGGTCAGATTTGGAATGCGTCTTAGCTTTTTCTGTTACATTTTAATTTGCTACTCCCAATGTATATACTTTTTTTTCTTCATTTTTAATAAGGATTCTGAAACTACTTACAAAGGGTGGTCTTTATATAACACCCTGCATGGAAAACCGCTTACAAAAAGAATGCCATTCAATTTGAACAATTTGATCAATTATTGTTTTATCTTTCTGTAAGAATATTTCGGCGTGTTTTTCTTGCTTCGATACAAACTTTACGAAAAATTGGTAACAGAGAAATCTCATAATTATGTAATTTTAATTAAACTGTTATAATTTCAAAACGATGCAAAAGAAATGCAATATAACCACATAGCTGATTTGTGAGTTCATATTAATATTGTATTTTAATAAACTTACGAAAGTATTACAGCATTGCAGTTTTACAGATATCCGAAAACAATGTATTATCGTCTCTAAATTTAGTATGATATTAAAGTTACACGATTATATGAATTCGAAATAGTTTTGGAGCTTGTTAGATTTGTTACGTTATGATTACCATTTTGTTAACGTCATATTACACTTTCAATAAAATTTTAAAGGGGCTTAAAACCAGATTAAATTTTAATGTGAAAAGTTGATTTTCGTAAAAATGTATCTCTTTTAAGAAACTACTTTTTAAAAAGATGTTTGTTCTATGACGCTATGATTATCATTCTAATAATGTCACATTACACTTTCAATGACTATTTAAAAGGATTTAAAGCCAGATTAAATTTTAAAGTAAAAAGGTTATTGTCATAAAAATGAATCGTTTTCAATAAGCTACTTTTTTAATGATGTTCTTTAACGTTATGAATACCAATCTGTTAACGTCACATAACGCTTTTAATAACAGGTTAAATAAAAAGTAAATAACTTTAAGTAAACTGAAACACAAAATAAAATTTTCAAACCAATTCGCAATTTTAATCAAATTTTTATACGAAATGAAAATCTCTTTAGAAAATATTTATCTTTAGCCATTTTCCTGTAAAGTTTTTTTGCTAATATTTTAAGTCAATCTTTTCCAATTATTAAAAACTAATTCTTGAATGTTCATTTGGGCATAATGCTATTTTTGATTTTATCCAATAAAAAAGACTAATTATTAGAATGCCTAAAAAAAAAACTCCATTTTTGAGACCGCATTTGAGAATAATTTTCTTCTCAAATTTAATCAATAAGAAAGAAAAGTAATTATTGAAGTATTGTATTTTTAATACAATATGTGCCTAAACGCATTTTCTGAAGAAAATATAAAGTATTTCTTTTTGAAATTGTATCTTAAAACTAGATCAATATTAGTTATTTTCATACATTAGTTTTTTAATATTTCATTAAGTTATTTTTAATTGCTTTCTGTGAGATATTTAAGAAAAATTCTTCGTAATGTTTTACCTGATAGGCAAGGAAATTTTTTAAAAATCTTTCATGAATCTCAGAGACTTTTTTAAACTGTCCATGCCAATTATTTAATGAAATGAAGCAAATAATTGCTCACACTTTCGTGATATTAATGCAAATAATTTAAATATATTGACACGAAATATTGAAAAAGAAACATGATCTTTTTGGAAAAATGACTTTTTTTAAGCAAAACTTCAGTTCCTTTTTTTTTATTTTTCATTTTTTTTGACGAACTGAAATTAAAAAAACTCAAAGTTTGATTAAGAATATATTCGTATTAAAGATAAATAATTGAAAATAATCTAAAGAAATGTTTCCTTTATACTTCAACGAAAATTATTCTTGCTTTTATAACTTTTTTTTAAATATTCTGAAAGAAAAGAAGAAGAGAAATAAGTCAAGAATACGTAACAACAAAAATTAATCCGCTTTTTCAAAAAGCTGAGATTTCGTCCATATAATGAAAAAATAGAAAGGCACATCATCATTATAAAAATTTCATGGAGACCCTTCCCTGTACTGTCGCTTTCCTATTATGAACTGTTTCTTCGGGCACTTCAAAACAAGTTATGATAGGGAAAGGGTCTTTAGCCAATTACGACAACATTTTCTGGAATAGGCTCCAAAATAATTTTAATCCGGATGATGTGCCCGAATTCAGCTTGAAATTTGTAGTAGCGTTACGTTCTAACTTGTTACATATCTTGTTAATCTTGCACATTGTGTCACAAAATAGACAAAAAAATTTGTAGCCTTAGAAGCAAAACTAATTTTAGATTTAATATGTTAACATAAATGAAACAAAAATATTCAGTCTAAATTATCTCAGATTTAAAGCCATTTACATTTAAACCGACAAAAGTTTATTTGCTCAATTTGAAACTACCATATCTTTTAGTCTACATAGAATTTCTTTAAAAATAAAATTAACAAAGGCATTAACAAAGGCACTTCGTTAACTTTGTTAACTTCGTTAAACAAAGGCATTTAATGTAGGTCAAAAATTTTATTATTAAAGAAGTGCAGTTAACTGTTTTAATTTATAGATAATTGCCCAATAGGTAAATTATGAAAAACACTACAGTGATATTTATTACATAGTTTATGTATTTTACCTTTATGGGTCGCTTAATATTCAGGACATCTGCATGTTTTTTCAAAATGGAGTAAGGAGCATGGAGTTTCAGGAAATACGTTTTTCCATCTTGTGAAAGCTGCAAAATCAAACATCAATCCTTAAAATACCAATGAAATTTTACGAATCTTTATAAGATTAATAGAATTAATGCATGAGAACAATTAGTTTATCTTCTTCATACACTGAGAAAAAAAATTACGGTGAAACCTACCACAATAGAGAAAAATTTACTGTTTCTAAGCCTCGACGAAAACACCAAAAAGCCCGGTCTTTTTTAACGAAGCACTTCGGTAATAATTTTGCTCAAATTAACAATAAAATATGGTTTTGCAATATGCGATAAAATTATGTAGATGTAGTAACATTTGGTAATTTTATCGTGATACCTAAAGGCCTGGTTTCTTAGGACAGGACGCCGTCAGCTGGAAATCAGCGCTAACCTCTGATTGGTCCATTTGTGAGTTTGATAGTATACGTCTTTGAACGCTCATCTTGAACTACAATTGCCGTCCAACTCAACTGCAGTTGGATNGTCTTAAAGAAATACGTTTTTCCATCTTGTGAAAGCTGCAAAATCAAACATCAATCCTTAAAATACTAATGAAATTTTACGAATCTTTATAAGATTAATAGAATTAATGCATAAGAACAATTAGTTTATCTTCTTCATACACTGAGAAAAAAAAATTACGGTGAAACCTACCACAATAGAGAAAAATTTACTGTTTCTAAGTCTCGACGAAAACACCAAAAAGCCCGGTCTTTTTTAGCGAAGCACTTCGGTAATAATTTTGCTCAAATTGACAATAAAATATGGTTTTGCAATATGGGATAAAATTCTGTAGATGTAGTAACATTTGGTAACCTTAGAGGATCCCAATTTTTTTCGCCCACGGAACCCTACTTAATCAACCTTCTTTCGACGCAACCCCGGCTTTATAAAGTTTATTAAGGTAATTGTAAACCTTTTAAGCTATATAAAAAAATTTTATAAATATTTAAGTAGAAAAATGGAGTTAAATTTACAATCCTTGCTCTATATCTAGTCTACTAATGAATTTATTTTTGGTTTTCATACATCAATGAATAAAAGAAGCTGAATTATTGTTTACTTCAAGAAGAAAATTGTCATTGGGGAAATATATTTCTTTATTAAAAAAATTATATTATTTTATTTTGAAGAGTGTGATAATAAATACTAATGGAATATTTTATAAATGCTTGTTTTCTTTTCATAATTTGTTGAATATATGGCAAGTGGAAATTTTATATTTTCCTTTAGGAAAATTTCACTTCTATTTAAGCACCACTTTACTTGAAATAATTTCATAAATTCAACAGTAAGATCAAATACATTATGAATTATAGGTTAGATCTAGAAATAATTAGAGGTTACAAAAGTCATCACTGATTATAAACAAAGTACTAACTCAAGGAACAGCTGTAACTGCCTTATGGAACCCTAAAAAACACCATTTGGGAGCCGCTGCCCTTGAGTATAGAATAAAAGCCATTTATTGGGTTAAATTAACTTCTCAGTTTTGTATTTTCTAATAAATGTGTAGTAATAGGAACTCTAATTTTAAAAATCAGAATTTCCAGCTAACCATTATCGTATGGAAGGAAAGATTATCAAATGAATTGTTTTAATACCATCAATTTTGGTTTATAATACCAGTATTATAGTTTTGTTCCGTGCAAATGCACTTTAGATTTGGTAAGGCGTCTCCAGTTTTAGTGCATTTGTTAAGTTCTCATTATTCGCAATTTTTTTTAAATAGCAGCTAGGGCCGTAATTAGATCTGTATGGATTAATATTTAAAAAAAATGAAATCTTCTTAAAGCAAAGTTTTGCAAAAAGTATATATAAATCTATTTTTTGAATACGTTGAAGACAAGTAAATTTATCATTACATTAGAGATTTAATAAGTTCATGACGAAAGTAAGTTAATTTTTTTTACGTTTTTTGACATATAAAAATATGTAGGTTAAATATTTCGATAAACTATACAATAAGATAATTAAAGTTTTTTTAAAGTTGAAGTATCTTCAATTTATTCCATTTCTTCACTCTTATAATTAAACTTTTTTCAAAGTCTTAAAATTGTAGATATCGCTAATTGTTCTAATCTAATCTAGAATTCTAAATTAAAGTTCAAGATACACAGAGAAAGAAATTCCAGCGCACCGTATGGTAATGACATTTCTGGTTAAAAAAAAGCACAAATCTGGGTAATAAAATCAAAACATATAGTATTTAAACAATTCATTTGGAAACTTTTCTGTTCCTATGGTAAAGGTTTGCCAGATATTCAGTACTAAAAATGAGACAAATATAAATGATTTGTATGCCATCCCCTAATCTCTTATGCTAAAATTATCACATTAATGCTAAAATTATCATAAAACCATGTTTTATTGTTTTTTTTTAAACAAAATCATTACCAAAGTACTATGATAACAGTTACTAAGTTCTTGGTATTCTCAAAGAGCCAGAAACACAGTGAATTTTATCCTATTCTGGAAGTTTTGACCATAGTTTTTTCGCAGAGTAAAATGCTATGCTTAGTTAAAGAAATAATAAGTTCATCCTTGCTTTTGTAACTTTTTAACGATTTTTCAAAACAAAATGATTTTCTTATCCTAAATCAGTATCAAAAACCATGAAGACAAGCTGAAAATCCTATCAAAAGTAAAAAGTTTTTTTAAAATTGTTTATTTTGGCAGTCATTTTTATATCCCGAAATAAAAGCAATTATATTTTTTTAAAACATGCTTAATCCAACTTATTATTAACTAAATAAATAACTCATTAGTGAAAAAGAACTAAAATAACTAACTTTATTAAGATCACAATTTAATATCGTAATTACTTAGCTGACTAAAGTCCTTGGGAAATAAATTTCCTATAGAGAGTTTGCTTTAACAAGGCCATTTAGTTGTGTTACTAAGAGAACCTCTCTTCATTTGAACTTCAGTATTTACGACTGAATCAGCAGTTAGCAGAGAAACCGTTGCCATTAGGAAAGAGTAATAGCGTCTCTAAGATCTTTTATGCTTTCTAAGCTTATTTATTATTGTTTCTTATTCATTTTCGATCTTGAAAAACCTTCGTAAGCAAAAACAAAACTAGTGGAGAATGAAAGATATGGCATTCAATAGACATTTTCCAAAATAATAATTTGATAATTAAAAAGAAACAATTTTAGAAAACGAAAATTTGCTAAAAAATCACATGCTATCACAACGAAATGATTTTCAGCTCATGGATTGCTGAATTATCAATCATAGTTTCATATCAGAAAGTGTATGAAACTGTGACGGATTGCCATATTAGGACTCCGTTTTTCACCAGTATGGTTCAATAAATGTTTTTTTTTTTAATTTTTTTTTTGAAATTTATTTTACAACAGGAGTTGATCAGCTGAACCAATTAGGAGTTACTGACTATAAATGTTCAAACTCCGTTCCCTTAAAATTTTGAGCCTAATAGAAAAAAAAAGGGAACTCGTGCATCAAGCATTGAAACAAACGAGCCATCTTGGAAGGACTTTTTGATTAAACTAACACTTATTCGCCTTACATGGAGAGGTAGACCACGGAAACCTCCTACTGTTAGACCGATGGCAAAGGAATTCTAACCCATGATCTGCCTACCCACTAAGGATATTTTTTTATGTCGGCAATGTCTTTAGTGCTAGCCGGGAGCAGAATCCGTATCGACAAGCCAACCCTGGGATTCGAATCGGGATCATCTCACTTGAACGATACTCTATCCCCCGAGCCACCGGTTCCATTTAATGTTTCGTATTAATTTGAAAATTTCCTTTAAAATTCTGCAATTTTTTAATCTTATTAAATAAAGAGCATAATAACTTATGCAAAAGATTGCATGCATTTTTTATTTACTGATTGTTGAGGGGGTTAATTTATGAACCATTCAAATGACAAATTTGAACTCAGCACCCTGCAAAGAAAAAATTCCTTGAACATCAAAGTAACATGTCACACTTGATTCCATTTCTATGTGGGATAAAATGATTCAGTAGTCTCTTTAGAACTTAACTTGATAATCGAAGTTATCGAAAATGAAAGCAAAAAGCAGCAAAACTCGTTTGATAGATATTTCCCAAAAGATATATCCTATATTTATCGATATTTATTTCCCTTAGGGATAAGAAATAAGTACGTATGTAGTCAATAAAGACGATCCAGATTTTTTGCTTTCATCAACTAAATGTCTATAAAATCCAACTTTATAAAAAGTTTCTGCCTTTGGAACTTTTGATATCAAAAATACTGAAAACAAAGAATGAAAGCTATACTAAAAGAAATAATATTTTCTCCAGAATTTAGAACTAATTTTTAACTCTCGAGAGTCTTAACTTTGATGAAGTAGGAAATTTTTATAATATGTAGTCATTTTTAACACTTAAAACAAATTAAGTTTATCAAACACAATAGTCTTTGTAAATTACCGGGTTAGAGAATTCAATAATGATCATTTTCCATAAGTTTTTAAGGTCGATTCAATGTTTCTTTTTTTTGTAATATTTCCCACTTGGGTATGACCAAAATATACTTGAGTTCGCATTATATGAAAATGGAATATAAGAAATTATTAAATGTTAGTGTGGTGGAATTGGAGTTTTAATCTCTCTGCTGCTGTGTATATTTCAGCATTCATGGTTAATGCAAATTAGAACAGTGTGCAGATTTGAGCATATTCGATTACAAATATTACTTAATGACTTTCAATCCGGATGGCAAGCAATCGTGAAATATGATCACAATTGAATACCTGCTGGTGACGTCATGGTAAATAAATCACGCCACTTGTCGATTTAGAAGCTAATCAGGTTTGACACAAAGGCATGGTGTCGCTCGCAGGTATAGAATTAAATAGTTCAATCACCTGCCAAGCATAATCATCACTTCATTTCGAGTTGCAAGTATCCAATTATAATAAATGCATAAGTAATTATATACTAGAATGCCAATGATACTGATAATTTAAAGCAATTGCTTAACTGTATAAGATCTTTTTGAGTCGTCTTTATTAAATAAATTTTCCGAACAACGTTGGCAAGTTTGGAATCATTGGGTAACTTATTTTTGACAATCGGATTTGCGTCAGTTTTGGCTATTTTTTAGTTTTTTACACGTTAATAAAATTTTTACCTCCATATTATGCATACAAGCACAGACGTTATAATTATAAAATGTTAAGAAAAGGCACAAAGAAAAAATAAAATTAAGGGCCATCAATCTGTCCTGATTGAGCCAATTGAATTCCTCCTGTCTTGATTGAGTCAATTGAAATAAAGTATCACCTAAATACAAGCCAGTAAAGCATTAAAAAATATTATTAGCTTGTGTCATTCAAAAGTGAGAGCTTAATTAAAAATTTTATCTGGACAGATTCTAATACTTTTTGTATGTATACATTAATCTTGAGAGAATAAATTAATTCATTATAAAATTTATACTTAGTCATTTTTGATTTACTTTTACTAAACCAGATAAAATTGCATTTAAAATTGCAACAACTCGAATAGTGTTAATCTGGAAATGGTTGTATTCCATCCCATTCATATTATCTGAGACGAGCTCATTGAAAGCAATCAGCATGTGATACGTTCCTTAAGTCTGCTCTAACATAGTTAATAATCATTAACTACGAGTCTGAATTTCACTAAGCATAGTTTCAATTATCATCAGAAACAGTTAAAAGACCATTAACATGTCAGAGTATAAGCATTAAAAAATTAAAAATGAATTTCTGTTTTGCGCAGAAAATTCATTTGAACCTAAATTAACTCCATAAAATATTGGAGTATAGTTAGCAGTATAGTTGGCGTACAATAACAGAGATTTTAATAACAAAAACTCTTAAAAATAATCGAAATGCTGGATTATTTGATTAAAAACGCCATAAAATGTGTTCAAATGTAATCTTTTAAATTATTTATGATTGATGATGATAAATTGAAGCAAAAACCACGCAATTTTCTTCCATTATCAAAAATTATAATCAATAACATTTTGCCAAACTTCACAAAACTGTAACCCAGCAATGTGGAGAATTCTTCCCACGTATTACATGAACGTATTATATGAAACATGAACAAACAAGTGTTATTTTCTCCAAAGAATTTGCAGTTCTATTACTTGTCTATTTGTCTTCAGATACTAATCTGTATAAAATTTACTATACTAATCTGTATAATAATCTATAATAATCTGTTATACTAATCTGCATAATAATCTGGTATAATAATCTGTATATTAATCTGTATAATAATCTATAATAATATACTATCATACTAATCTGCAGATTATTGTACTAATCTGTATAATAATCTACCATAATAATCTGTATATTAATCTGTATAATACTCTATAATAATCTACTATAATAATCTGCATATTAATCTGTATATTAATCTGTATAATACTCTATAATAATCTACTATATTATACTGCATATTAATCTGTATAATAATCTGTAATGATCTACAATTACACTAATCTGCAGATTATTATACTAATCTGTATAATAATATACGATAATCTGTATAATAATCCATAATAATCTACTATTATACTAATCTGAAGAATATTATACTAATCTGTATAATAATGTACTATAATAATCTGTATATTAATCTGTATAATAATCTACTATTATACTAATATGCAAATTATTATACTAATCTGTATAATAATCTACTATAATAATCTGTATAATAATCTACTATAATAATCTGTATATTAATCTGTATAATAATCTATAATAATCTCCTCTATATTAATCTACAGATTTTTATACTAATCTGTATGATAATCTACTATAATAATCTGTATATTAATCTGTATAATAATCAGCATAAAAATTGATCTTACCGATTTATCTTCAAGTTCTAATTCCAATCCAGCTTGACGGAGGTTCTTATGGAACATATTCCTGTACTCATTTCTACGGAAATCGGAGTCTTCATACGCAAGTACAAAGTCTATTTTTCGTACTCCATCCCGGAAGTAAAGAGTGGACATCTCGTCCACATTTCTCAAGGGAGTTGCGGGAGATGGGAAATTGGGTGAATTCAGATCCTGTAATGAAAGAAACAAACACTATTAAATCACTTCGCTGTGAGTTTAACGATAATCAATTTCGAACTAAATTTTTTCACTTTTGTTGCACCGTATTGATTTTACACTTCTGCTAAAGTTTTTTAAAGGAATAATTTTCGTTTCACTAAAGTCACAATTTTGAACTTTTAAAGAACAGGAATCGATTCCTTATTTTTTTATAAATATACTTAAAAAGCAAAACTGCATAAGAAAGAAAACTAAAAATATGTAAGAAAGTAAACTAAAAATGTATCAGAAAATGAACTATAAATACTTTAGAAAATAAATTAAAGTTACACAAAGAAGTAAATTAGAAATCCATCGGTAAATAAATAAGAAAGTAAACTGAAAATACTAAAAAAGTAAACTAAAAATATCTCAAAAAGAAAATTTTAATGCACAATAAATTCAACTAAAAAAAATAAAGAAAAAGATTACTTAAGGAAGTAAACTAAAAATAGATAAGAACTAAACTAAAAGTACATAAGAAAGAAAACTAAAAATACATTAGAAAGACAAGTAAAAAAATACATAAGAAAATAACCTCTAAAAAAACATAAGGTATGGAACAAAAAATTTAAAAGGAAATAAAAGGAAATTTTATTAAATTGAAACTTCTTAATCTGATATAACTGATTTGTGCTTTCAAAAATTTCGAAATTTGTTGCATAGAATTTTGCTTTTACTTAATATGATTAACATGTTTTTTTTTTACATTATTGATATTCAGAATAGTTTTCAAAATTTAAATTTTTGAAGAATGTTATTTTTTTCTCAGGAAATAAAGCAGATATCAAATTAGCTCTGTTTTTTTCTCTATTCATTTTGTGATTCTTCACTCACGTTATTTACTATCACTTAAATAGAACAGGGTTCCCACTCTTTTATCAAAGCAAAAATTAAGCACTTTTAAGGACTTTTACCAAAAAAATTAAGGACTTTTTCTCCAGAAATTAAGAACCTTAAAAATGGCATAATGATCAATAATTTATCATCAAATAAAACATTATAGATTAATAATAATAGATTAAAAAATGGAATAGCTTTTCCAGTCATCCTTTAAAAAAACTGAATAAAGAAATGCTTAATACAAATAATCTGTATTTAATTAAAATTAAATTGCATTTAATCACCTCACGCACGCTTTTAAGAATATAAAGAAAAACTCAAAGAATGCAGATTAAACAATAAGATTTTTTATTTTAATTTGGAAAAAAACTGGGTAAACAGATAGAAATATATAAATTAAGATGGTAACTTCATTAAATTAATAAAAATATTATTTTGAGTGACTAATACTAAACCAAGACAAAAAGAAACTAACAAATATAAGTTTATTGAGGTTAAGACAATTATTTTAAACCAAGTAAAACCTAATTATAATAAGCTAAAGATTTATNTGCAAATTAGGACAATGTGCAGATTTGGGCACATTCGATTATAAGTATTACTTAATTACTTTCAATCCGGATGGCAAGCAATCGTGAAATATGATCACATTTGAATACCTGCAGGTGACGTCACGGTAAATAAATCACGGCACTTGTCGATTTAGAAGCCAATCAGGTTTGACGCACAGGCATGGTGTTGCTTGCAGGTATAGAATTAAATAGTTAAATCATCTGCCAAGCACTTCATCTCGAGTTGCAAGTATCCAATTATAATAAATGTATAAGTAATTATATACTAGAATGCTAATGATACTGATAATTAAAAGGGATTGCTTAGTTGCTAAATCTTTGTGATATCTTTTTGAGTCTTTTAAACTAAATAAGTTTTCTGAAGAATCATTTTTAAAACAAAAACAATCACCTCACGTTGGGAAAATTGGAATCATTGGGCAACTTATTTTTGGCAATTGGTTTTGAGTCAGTTTTGGCAATTTTTTAGTTTCTACACGCTAATATAATTTTGACCTCCATATTATACATGCTTAAGCACAGACGGTACATTTATAAAATTATGAAAAAAGACATAATGGAAAAATAAAATTAAGCACCATCAATCTGTCTCGATTGAGCCAATGGAATTCTCTTGAATAAGGAAGCAGCTACTTTGTTTTTTTAAATAAAGTATCTCCTAAATATAAGCCAGTAAAACATTAAAAAATATTATTAGCTTGCGTCATTCAAAGGTGAGAGCCTAATTAAAACATTTTATCTGGACAGTTTTTATTACTTCCAGATTTTTGCATGCATACATTAATCTTGAGAGAATAAATTAATTCATTATCATATTTATACTTAATCATTTTTGATTTACTTTTGCTAAACCATTTTTTTTAACAACTCGAATAATGTTAATCTGGAAATGGTTGGATTCCAGCCCATTCATATTATCTGAGGCGAGCTGATTGAAAGCAATCAGCATGTGATACGTTCGTTAAACCTGCTATAACATAGTAAATAATCATTAATTATGAGTCTGAATTTCACTAAGCACAGTTTCAAATATCATCAGAAACAGTTAAAAGACCATTAACATGTCAGAATATAAACATTAAAAAATAAAAAGAGAAGTTCTGTTTTGTGCAGAAAATTCATTTAAATATAAATAAACTCACATAGGGATTTTTAAACTTCATAAAATATTAGAGTATAGTTAGAAGTATAGTTGGAGTACAGTAACAGAGATTTTGATAACAAGAGCTCTTAAAAATAATCGAAATGCTGGATCATTTGATTAGAAACGCTATAAAATGTGTTCAAATGCAATGTTTTAAATTATTTATGATTGATAATGATAAATTGAAGCAAAAACCACACATTTTACTTCCATTATCAAAAAATATAATCGAAAATATTTTGCCAAGCTTTACAAAAGTGCAACAAAGCAATATAGCGAATTCATCCTACGTATTACATGAGCGCATCATATGGAACATGAACAAACAAGTGTTATTTTCTTCAAAGAACTTGCAGTTCTATTACTTGTCTGTTTGTCTTCAGATACTAATCTGTATAAAATCTACTATACCAATCTGTATAATAATGTACAATAATCTACTGTTATACTAATCTGCAGATTATTAAACTAATTTGCATAATAATCTACTATAATAATCGATATATTAATCTGTATAATAATCTATAATAATCTGCAGATTATTATACTAATCTGTATATTAATCTACTATAATAATCTGTATATTAATCAGTATAATAATCTATAATAATCTACTATTATACTAATCTGTAGATTATTATATTAATCAATATAATAACCTACTATAATAATCTGAGTAATAATTTACTATAATAATCTGTATAAAAATTGCTCTTACCGACTTATCTTCAAGTTCTAATTCCAATCCAGCTTGACGGAGGTTCTTATGGAACATATTCCTGTACTCATTTCTACGGAAATCGGAGTCTTCATACGCTAGTACAAAGTCTATTTTTCGTACTCCATCCCGGAAGTAAAGGGTGGACATTTCGTCCACATTTCTCAAGGGAGATGCGGGAGACGGGAAATTAGGTGAATTCAGATCCTGTAATGAAAGAAACAAACATTATTAAATCACTTCGCTGTGACTTTAACAATAATCAATTTCGAACTAAATTTTTTTCACTTTTGTTGTACTTTATTGATTTTACACTTCTGCTAAAGTTTTTTAAAGGAACAGTTTTCGTTTAACTAAAGTAAAAATGTCACAATTTTGAACTCCCAAAGACCTGGAATCGATTATAGTTTTTTTTTTTTTTTAAATATAATTAAAAAGCAAATTATAACTGCATAGGAAAGATAACTAAAAATACGTAAGAAAGTAAACTAAAAATGTATCAGAAAATACACTATAAATGATTTGGAAAGTAAATTAAAAATATATAGGAAAATAAACTATCAATACCTTAGAAAGTAAAATAAAATTACATAAAGAAGTAAATTAGAAATCAGTCGGTAAATAAATTATGGAAAAAATTTGAAAGTAATCTTAGAAATACAACAACAAAAAAGTCAACTAAAAGTATGTCAAAAAGAAAATTTTAATACATAACAAATTCAACAAGAAAAATGAAGAGAGAAATTACTTAAGGAAGTAAACTAAAAATAGATAAGAACTAAACTAAAAATACATAAGGAAGAAAACTAAAAATACATTAGAAGGGAAAGTTAAAAAATACACAAGAAAATAAACTTAAAAAAAACATAAGGTAAGGAACTAAAAATTTATAAGGAAATAAAAGAAAATTTAGTTAAATTGAAACTTCTTAATCTGATCTAACTGATTTGTGCTTTCAAAAATTTCGAAATTTGTTGCTTATAATTTTGCTTTTACATAATATGATTAACATGCTTTTTGTTTGCATAATTGATGTCTAGAATAGTTTTTAAAATTTAAATTTTGAAGAAAGTTATTTTTTTTCTCCGTCAATAACACATATCTCAAATTAGCTATATTTTTTTCCTATTCATTTCGTGATTCTTCGCTCACGTTATTTACTAGCATTTTAATGGCAAACCCTGTTTTGCATTGTGCTTTAAACCTTGGTACCGTTTGAATTTGCTGTTTCCTAAATAGGGTTATAAGTAAAACCTTCTTATCATAATCCATAAACCTAAAAACACAATATCGTCGTTTAACTTGAAAGGAAGCATTAAGCACTTTATCGATTTTGCAGCAAAATTGCACTCTGTTGCACACTGTTAAAATTCTCATTATAAAGTTGCGGTAAAATAACCAGCAGCTGACTGTCCATCCAATTAACCGTAAACCAATGACCATCCAATTAACCGCAACATTCTTTAATTTTACGGTTTTGAAACCGTTTACAACAAGTATGGTTATGAAACCACGTATACAAAATTTTACAGTTTTTAACCATTTACAACTAGAAAGGTTTCAAAAAATGTAAAAAAACTGAATATTGGAGCTAAAAGTGCATTGGAGAATGCCGGAAACACATTGCAGAGTTCAAAACTCTGCAAACTCTTCATGCGTTGAAGTGAATGAGTGAATGAAGAGAAATATGGTGGTGTCAACTATGGGATTCGAACTCCAGTTCTGTCAGTCATGAGATTGACAGATTAGCCCCCTCGGCTAGAATATGTTCCCAGCTGAAAGGAACTAAGTGGCTTCCTTGGATGGGCCTAGTTGGTGTGATAAAATTCTGGTTGTTTATATCAGCATCAGGCGAAAGC